TGCTCATTAACTAAAATAATATAAGTAGTGAAACAAGCATGTGGAACGTTGTTTATTATATTTGTTTCAACAATCCCCCATCCAAATGGCCGGGGATACTTGCTTAATTTGTGATTTTAATGTTTTGTAAATTTATTCACCGAACGCCGTGTATTTACATCACCGTTTATCGTCAGCAACAAACAAATGTCTTTCATCTGCAACATACTGAGAGCAGGGTGTGTACAATCTAAACATTGCACCAAACCCAGAGTTATCCGGTTGCTTGGGGCATTTTAAAGCATTTTGAGTAATCTATTAAACGTTCTATTTCATGAGCTGGTCTACAATCAGAAATTAGTTCAAACACTGACGCTCACTGGCCTGTGATTAATCACTCTAGGCAGGATAAGTTTTTCTGGGGCAAAATTTTGGTACAGTGCGAAGAACACAAATAAGCGTTAAGCACTATCTTTATTCAAGCTACCAACAATTTAGCATAGTTACCACCTAATATAACGAGGGTTTGGACCTGGGCCATACAGAATGAGTGCAATACCAATGGTCACAGGGATCTACACACAATACATAATCAAGATGTCTTTTTAACTACCCATTAGGTCCTATTTCCAGACGCTGAGCGGTTGGTTTACATCGCGTCCAGAAACCGTTGTTGTTCTGTTTCAATAATCAATCCGAATAGTCTCATACGAATAAGGGCTTATGTTCAAGGAGAGAATGCATAAGGTCGGATTGTTTTAAAATAAGTACTTCGGTGAAAAACCGCTAAACAAATTGTGCGCATTAAACATTGTAGGGTGCTTGTTCTTATTATGTGGAATACTGGGGCCAAAATGTTCTCCATTTATTGTGTGTTTAGAAAGTGTCAGAGGTTAAAGGCTGTACGCTGATGCAGTTTAGCTTAAAAGGTCGCAAAATTTGTGCCGCTTGGTGATGCCAGTGTATTCACGGCCAAGTAAATGAATTGTGTAGGCAATACATTTTTGTCTCTGTGTAGCTCAGTGTATTAGTTGGCGTATACTGTGCCAATATTAGTCCTGACACACAACGCGAATTATAGAATGGGTCAAACGTACATTTAGAGAAAAACGTTATTCTACTAAAAATCGACATACCCGCAAAACCGGAAAGTAAAAATAGCGTCATTCACGAGTTTGGCATCCATAATAAAATCCAAAAATGTAGTTTTCAAAAATTTACAGCTTTCGAAACTTTCTGGAGGTCTCCTCATCCCGAATATTCCATCATATCCTTTTCTGTCGTCCACGGCACCAGAGCTCTCCACGACTTCAGCGAACGTAAAATGTGGGATCATGCGACCCGCAATCTTTCGAAATAGAAATGGAAAAATGGATTTCACTGACTAACCCATAGCTGATCTATCATCACATTCCCCTTATATTTCTCACCAGAGTAACTAGTTTCGTACTCTTCGTTCATTGAGACGCTCGTTTCTGCCTGTCCAGTGTATTTCTTTTTATTTGCAAATTCCACAGATGTTGACTTGCTCGACGGTATCCACCGTGTCCATCCTCCTGTATCAAGAAGAACCATGAAGGGCTGCCCACCTATGTTTACCGGGATGATCGGATGCCCCAAGAAGAATAAAAATGCTAAGTTATGTACATTCACCGAGAACTTACTGCGTTGTCGCTAAAGAAGTCCACGGAGAAAATTTGGCATTGGACATGCATTGAACTTTTCACTCGTCACTGAAGA